AAAAAAAAGAAATACAGAGTCATAAAAATGTTTGTTAGGGGTGAGAGATACAGAAATACTTTCCTCTACACTGAAAAACTTGAGGTAGAACATTTTCCTTGCATGTGTTCTTATAGATATAATTTCATAGGTAACACTGCAGTGAATAAAAAAAAATCAGATAGTTACAGAAAAGAAACTACAACTGTCAGTGGTTACACTGAGAGACCATTCTCTTTGGAGAACACTTTGTAGGTAGCTTTTTTTTGTGTGTTCTCTTTGTTTATATGAGATTTATGCTGTTTCAGAAGCCTTTTCAGTTATAAAAGGAATCCAGATACTGTTTTGTACTTTTGCAATTTTGTCATGGTTAAATGAAAATCAGATTTATTTTACATGTGTAGTTGGGTTTTAATTTCATTTATAGGACCTGAAGTATTTGCTTTTCAGACTGTATTGGAGAGGCCTTAGAAAGGATGTTCCAGCAGCTGATATGACCCCTTCCTTTCTTAAACCTCCAAAATTTTGGTTTTTAAAAACAAAAGAAAGCTAATGTTTAAAAAGTTAATGTGATAGTAAAGATAGTACAAATTATTGTCATAGGCTTGAAAAATAGTTCTGAGTTATGAAACTGAAGTCATGATTAAAAATATGTGCAATTTCAGCTTACAAACAATAGCACATTAAAGTCCCAACTGAACAATCAAGTAGTATGATGGCCTTTTTCTTCTGGGTCAGAGCGTGCAGAGGAGTTGCAGACCATGGTAATGTGGCTGTGAGTCTTGCCCACCTTGCGGATGTTTGATGTCTTAACTATACATAGCTCTGTATTCCTCCCCAGGCAGTGTTCTCTCAAATCCATCAGTCTCCTTCTGTTTTGAGTTTTCTTAACCATTTCTTTTCAGATGCCTTAGAAGTCCAATATAACCTGTCCTACTAGCCTGCCTAAGTTTTCCTGTAAGCCTGTCTTAATTGGATTGCAGTTGATGTTCCTTAAGTTGATTTACAGATTTAAGTGACAGGATTTTGATAATTTTTCCATTTGTAGATACATTGCTTAAGCCCTGATTTTCCTTTTGCATTGGCACAGACAAAAGTTCATGTCAGAATGCTTGATTAATAATTCAAAGAAGATAGCGCATAAGCTGGTAATCGTTTGGAGGGCATACACATGGCTGCTGGAATGACAGTTGAGCTATTGCCCTTGTTACTAAAAATTGGAGTTTCTTAAGTGTTAAATCTTAGACTTACTAAATGAAGATGATCAATAGTTTTAAATATCTGAGGCCATCTGAGGATAATGTTGCCATGATTGACAATCAAAAAATGCCAAGGTTTTAGTATTTGGGAAAGAAAATGGTTGTGCTCTCTAGTGTTGTTTTGAGATCTCCATATCAAGCTGAACAGCTTTCCTCTTCAGTGATTCTCACTGCTGTGTTCCTTAAAAAAGTATCTGTAGCCTTTGATGAAAAGTAATAGTGCTCGTAGTAGTTTTCAGTAACAGTAGGTAATCCACAGATGCCTTCAGCGCAGGGAAAACAGTGGATGCTTCTTAGTCAACTTGAATAAGGCTTGTGACACTGCCTCCCATGGCATCCCCTGGCTGACAAAGTACGGGCTAGGTAAGTGGACAGCGAAGTAGGTTGTGTCATTGATCACAGACCTCTGGGCCCAGTCATTCAGCCAGTTCTGAAAGTCCAGCTGGAGGCAAATAATCAGTATTGTATCCTAGGAGCTGATACTGGAGCCAATACTGTTCAGCGTCTTCACTGATGACCTGGATGCTGGGACAGAGTGTGCCCCCAGCACATTCACAGGTGGTGCAAAACTGGGAGTCGTTGCTCATGTCACATGGTTGTGTTTCCATTCAGAGGGGTCTGGAAAGGCTGTATAATGGGACTGAGAGGAATGTCATGAAGTGCAGCAAGGGGAAGTGCAGACTCCTGCATCAGGGGAGGAATAACCCCAGGGGGGCTGAGCAGCTGAAAGACAGCTCTGCAGAGAAGCAGCTTGGTGTACTGGTGGACAACAATCTGACCATGCACCAGTAGTGCAGCTCCATGGCAAAGAAAGCAGGCAGCCCCCTGGGCTGGGTTAGGAAGAGTGTTCCCAGCAGGTTGAAGGAGGTGCTCTCTGCTCAGCACTGGTGAGGCTGCAAGGAGTGTCCAGTTCTGGGCTTCCCAGTACAGGAGAGGCAGACATACTAGAGTGAGTCCAGTGAAGGGCCACAAAGGAGATTAAGAGTCTGGAGCATTTCTTCGGTAGGAAAAGGCTGAGAGAACTGGGACTGTTCAGCCTGGAGAAGAGAAGGCTCAGGGGAGACCTTATCAATGGAGAGATGGAATGAAGGAGGAGCCAGACTCTTCTCAGTAGTGCCCACTGACAGGACAAGGGGAAATGGGCACAAACTAAAAATCATGAAATTCCAGTGCCTTCCAAGAAGGCACTTCTTCATTGTGGGAGAGGTCAAGTGCTAACATAAGTTGTCCATAGAGGTTTAATATCTGCTTGGAGATACTAAAAATCCAACTACACATGGTACTGGGCAACCTATTCTATCTGACCCTACTTGAGCAGGAGGTTTCGTAGAATCAATCACAGAATTACAGAATGGTTGAAGTTGGAAGGGATCTCTGGAGTTCATCTGGTCCATGCCCCTGGTTCAGGCAGGGCCACCTGGAGCTGGTTGGCCAGGACCGTGTCCAGACAGCTTTGAATACTGCCAAGGATGGAGACTTCACAACCTTGCTGGGCAACTGTGCCAGTGCTCAGTCATCCCTGCAGTAAAAAAAGTGTTCTCTCAAGAGGCTCCTTTCTAACCTGAATGATTCTGTGACTCTCATTCTCAGGAAGATAGACCCCAAGGAGAAAGGATCTATATGAAGTTTACCTGTCTGTCTTTTGACAGGAGGTATCACAGCGAGCAAACACAGAGTGGTGAAAAATCAGTTCTTGCATCAGAGCTGTGTTGCAAGATGTAGTCCTCATGTTACTGGAAGCATAAAATCATACAATTGTGGAGAAATTTAGGTTGGAAAAAACCTTTAAGACCACTGAGTCAAACCATTAACCTAACACTGCCAAGTCCACCACTAAACTGTGTCCCTAAGCACCACATCTGCACCTTTGAAATCCCTCCAGGGATGCTGACTCCCCCACTTCCCTTGGCAGCCTGTTGCAATACTTGACCACTCTTTCAGTAAAAAAACTTTTCCTAATATCCAGTCTGAACCTCCCCTGATCAACTTGAGACCATTTCCTCTCGTACTATTGCTAGTTACTCAGTTAGAGACTGACACCCACCGCACTACAGCCTCCTTTCAGGTAGCTGTAGAGAGCAATAAGGTCCCCCCTCAGCCTCCTCCAGACTAA